CAATACAATTAAGCAAACAAAATTTTGTAGATTACAATAAGCCCTTGATCAATACTGTTACAATCTACTTAATTCTTAACTTAGACATTTTAAGCTGGCTGAACTTGATTAATGCAGTTTCTTAACAGCAAATATTGCCACTAGCTATAATGGAACAAAATAAGAAAGCAAATTGGACATCTAGTTTAGAGATAATGAGTCACCTGGAGTACACTTTATAGGCTAGTCTTAGGAGATAATTTAACAAGCATTTAATACATATGCAGATGGCTCCTACGCCAATGGGCAGCCAAACTGCGAGGTGCTCTGCTAGGACCACCAAGGAGAAAACTGCAGACTTGCCCCACTGGTGTGGCTCAGTGCATCGAGCATCGTCCCATGGACTGAGAGGGCCCGGTTTGATTCCTGGTCAGGGCACGTGCCCAGGTTGCAGGCTCAATCAATCCCCCATAGGGGGCGTGCAGGAGGCAGTCGATTGATGCTTCTCTCTCACCTCAATGTTTCTATCTCTCTCTCCTGTCCTCTCTGTCTAAAAAAAAAATCAATAAAAATCTTTTTTAACCAAAAACAAAATTGCAGACTTTATTCCATGTTTGCTACATTATATTTCTTTTACTGTCATTTTTAGCATCAACAATATTATGTTAATCTGTCATCTCAATTAATACTCACCATTTTGTAATTGCTCCAGAAAAATAGAGAGAAAGACTTCCCCATGTGCCACTGATAACAGAGTAAGGAAAGCATTTATGCTACACAATATCAGTAATTATATTTAAGTCTCTTTTTCCTTTTCCTGGAAAGTAAGGGCTATATTATAACCTTTTAAATATAAATACCCGTTATTAATAGTTTTAAAACACCCCTCAACACACATTGTCTCGCAATGCTTGAAACCACAGGGTGAGGCAAAGAAGGCAGATACTATCCTATCTGTTCTTAAGAGAGTACAATGAAGGTTGCGTATGATCACAACCTGCCCAGGGTAAATACGCAGCAAATGATAGTATCCTTTTAGAAGAAATCCTTTGAACCGGGATACAGCCAAACACCAACAGATTATATAGTTACATTTGCTTGACTAAAACAAAATTAAGATAATATTGAAATCTCTAAAAGAATAAATTAAGAATGATGAAAAAAAAAATGCCCAATGTTGTTTCTCCTAATATTTCATCTAATGCTTTCCAGAGTAAAGTTAAACACTACCATCACAAATCTTCTTTCAGTGAATCTAACTTGTTATAAGTATAGAAAAAATACAGAAGTTGTAAAAATAGAGGATGCTGCCGTCTTTCATCCATAAATATACCCAAACAGGGATCATGAGATACCTAAAGAAAACTACCACCACCATAAAAAAAAAACACAAACAAACAAAAAACACATTGAAGGAATTATTCAAAGTGAAGAATAAACTTAAAAATAAAATCTGTTTAGTGTTCTAAGAATAAGATTATATTATATGAGTAAAATAAGAGCAGGTGGCCATAACCTATAAAGAAGTCCTGGGAATATAAAATAATAGCTGAAATAAAAAATTCAATGAAGGGCTAGAATAAAAAGTCAAGGAAATCTCCCAGAACAACGAGAAAAAAACAAAGACACGGAAAAATGAAAGAAAAATTTTAAAACACTACATTGATAAAGAAGCTCTGGGATAAATTAAAAAAAAAACAAAAAAACATAAAAGAATACAGAGAATATAGGAGGGAAGAAATAATAAAAGAAATAAAGAGGGTTTTCCAGAACTGAAGAAAGATACAGAAGAGCATTTTCAAATGGTCCATCAAATACTTTACAGAATGAGTTAACAAGGACTATAACTCATCCTCCTTAAATTAAAGAATCCCAAGGATAAAGAGGCACCAACACAAAAAGCTTCCAGAGAACAAAAACAGGTTACCTACAAAAAAATTCACATTAATGCCAAACCTCTTATCAGTAAAACTGGTTATTAAAAAGTAATGGAGCCCTGGCTGGTGTGTTCAGTGGTTAGAAGACACCAAAGGGTCTCGGGTTTGATTCCCAGTCATGGGCACATACCTGAGTTGCAGGTTCAATCCCCACTCCGGCTGGGGACGTGCAGGAGGCAACCAATGGGCATGTCTCTCACATCATTACTCTTCTCTCCCCATTCCCCCCCTCCCTTCCATTATCTCTAAAAATCAATGAAGAAAATATGCTTGGGTAAGGATTAACAATAACAACAACAAAAGTAATGGAACACAACCTTCAAAACTCTGAAGAAAAATTATCTTAAACCTGAATTCTATACCCAGCCAAGGTATGTACCAGGTGAGAAAACTAAAAGGATATTTTCAAACACTGTGTTGATAAGCACCCACACACACTCTTTCTGAAAAAATTACTTCAGGAAGTACTCTAGAAACCTGAAAAGTAAATCCAAAACTAAAAGAGAAAAGACATCTAAGAGAACATAGAACTTGTCCAAGAATGCAATTAAATAGCATTATATTAGCTGATAACCATACCCAGATAAAAAGGCAATTCATATCAGAACTCAACAAGTAGTATGATTTCAAGTTGAAGAATCAAGTGGCATTATAAAGGCTTACACTCTTCTACCAATAGGGGAGAAATGTGGCAATTAGAAAATCCAGGAAAAACAGTTAGAGCCCCAACTCGAAGCCAAACTAAAGCATGACATGACCTTGAGTACTGGCAGCGTGTAAGAAATCCCTTTGTCCTCTACGGATCCCATCACACTCATCACACCACTTTGTTTACAGTTATTATTTACACAGCATAATATTGATTACTGCTTTTTGGAATCAACAAGTGTAACTATTATAGCCTGATGATATAAATGTTACAGCGGACATAAATTGGAGAAGAAAGGGGAGGAGTTCAAGGGAAAGCCTGTGAGGGTACTAATTCCTCTTAACTATAAAGTGGCCAGTTGATGTCTAAATAATTTATAGAATTAATGATGCAAGAGCTAGAAGTTTAATCATAAAGGCCAAAAAGAAAAAGAAAAAATGAAGAAAGTAAGTATTAAAAGTGAAACTGTTCATTTTTCACAATGGGGATATACTAGATTACTTAAGATCAGTCAAAAATAAAGTTTAGCTCATTATATATAAAATTGGGATAATAAGCAGAAGAATTGAAAATAGAAAAGGTCTAAAATGGTTACCTATGAGAAAAGAAACTAATTTTAAGAGGTAGAAAGATTTTTACTTTTCATTTTATACCTTTGTGTATTATTCAAATTCTTATGCTTATAAGACTATTACTTCCTGATATTAACGTGCATGCGCACATGCACACAAAAATCACTAGAATCCTCTTTCCCTAACCAGTGCAGGAAAAACACTGAGAAATTATTTCCTTTTTCTATATCCTATGGACTATATACCTACCTCTATAAAGTTATTTCAGAGGAGACAGTTAATTAAACAGACTCAACAACCACCCTAAACCCTTGATAGAATGTGGTGATAGCAACATCTTACATTTATGTTAAAATTTTCAAAACACATCCCTATCCATTATCTTATTTAAAAATACCTTCCTTCATACAGCACTGAAATTGAAAATGCTTTCCAAATTTCTAATATGAGAATAACATAAAGAAATTAAACTTAACACAGATAGTTTTTATCAAGGTAAACATACACTTACCATATATGACCCAGCAATCTCATTCCTAGGTTCTTGCCCAAGATAAATGAAGCCACATTGCACAGAGACATGCATGCACAGGGTCACAGCAGCTTTATTCATAATACCCCAAACTAGAAACTACCCAAATGCCCATCAACGGGTAAACACAGAAACAAAGGACTGCATACTATACAAGTCTACTTATATGAAATTCTAGAAAAGCAAAACTATAGTAATAGCAGATTTGTGGTTACCAGGGCAATGCAAGAACTTTTTCGGTTGATAGAAGTGTTTTATGTCCTGATTACAGTGTTTGTTACAGTACTTTAAAAACTTGGCAAAATTCATCAAAGTGTACACTTAAAATTGGTGAATTTTATTGTATGTAAATACTCAATAAGGCTGATGTTTAAAAGCTTAATACATAATCACAGTTCATTATTGTCAACAGCTTTTCAGCATAGGTATGAACCACAGACCTTAAAAGAATACTAAAATCACTATTTAAGAGGCAACTTTTAATCAGAAAATAGATATGCAGTCACTTAAAAGTCCTGACAATGAAATGGCTCTCATCCCACTCAATTTAGCCATGTGGATAAACAACAGTTGCCTGGCAACTAGTCTACACTCTAGATTTCCAATAAACACATTTACCACATTATCAGGTGATCCCATAGAGAATAAAACAAGTTTTACGTTGAAGAGTTCTTCCTTTAATATTACAGAAGTGTAATAATGCATTTAAATTATCTAAAGTGGGAGTGAACAAGAAATACTAAAAGTACATCATGAATAATAATATAAAATTAAACATAAACACACACACACACACAAACCCTTTCCTCATTTGGTCTTTTACGTCAGGACTTTACTTACCTACTTACGAGACTGTGGAATCCATGAGTTTGTGGGTGAACCCTCCCCCTTTACTACTTCAAGCCCTTCCCCTACCACCACTCAAAATAACTTAATGTAGTTGAATAATTTTATTTACGTTTACATGTCTTGAAATGCATACAAGTGAGACACTTTTTTAGATATTAAATCATTCTAAAGATCTCTCTCTGGATTGTAGAGTCTGTAGACAATACAGAAAAATACAACACAAATTTTCTGTAATATACGTGCACACAACATACCAGAAAGCCAGGCTTGATTACAAATGATCAAAATCAGGAATTACAAAGAAAACCCTAAATAATAGGCAAATTCCTAACACATATGTTAAATGTCACTTCTCTCTTACATGACATAGTACGTCCCAGTTTACTTTGTTAACAGCATCAGAAAAACTGTCAACTTCCAGGACACCACTCAGTGGTAGCACACTTACCAACCATATTATTTTGGTTTTGTGGAACACTTACCCCTCTTCTGAACCCAACCTTCTTTCACAATGGTAACATCGCTCATGATGGCTCCCCTCTAGCCCCCAACTTGGAGAAATGGTACTTTGTGATATCAGCTTTGGGGTTTGGATTCTCTGCCGCTGCTGCCCTTCCCACTCTCTAGTGATGACTCAGCCTGGAAGGAAGTATTGAAGAAAGAATTTCTTTTTTTTTCCATTCTTGCAACTCACACAGCAATAACAAACAACTAATTCTTTGTAAATGTCTTCAACTGGCCTGACCTCACATAAAAGTCTAGCTCTTCGAACTGGGGAACTTATTTATTAAATCGTTGTATAATGAAGGCACTTCCCTGGTCTTGTGACAGATTTCAAATGATAGTGAAACTTTAACCTAAGAGGTTGCAATAAAAAATGTCTTAAGAAAACCACTGTCACACCTACACAAATAATAAAGAAAATGTGTTTGGTGCTGTGTATTTGAGGTGAAAGGGAAGAGAATGAATGTTAAGTGGGCTAAGAGTAAATCTGCATCTTTGTCTAGTTTCAAAATCTCTGTAAATTTAAATTAGTTATGGGAAAGCAATTGTGAATGTTTTTAATTGCTGTATTTTATGTAAAATACCATATGCTAAGAAACCAACACTTATGCATGCTTAAGAACCAACCAACATTTATGTATGTTCCAAGAAATATGTTAGGTTGATTACACTAAGTAAAATATTACAAATAATATAAAATCAATTATTTTTTAAAGTAGACCAGTGAAACAAGGGGATATGAAAATGTAAATAAGTATGGAGTATTCAAGATGTGTCAAAAACTTGTACAGGTGCTTAAATCTATTATTCACAGGTAATTATAGATTCACAACAAACTCATGAGGGTACTATTAACTCCATTGCGCAGATGGGGAAACTGAGGTTCGTAGAGATTAAGCAGCTTGTCCGATTTGAATACAAAATGATGGAGCCAAGATGTGAGCCAGGATGTCTGACTCCACAGCCTGCCCTCGTAACTCCAAATCTATGTTACCTTAAATCAGTGATTTTCAACTGGTGTGCCACAAAAATTTTTAAAACATGCAATACCAATACTTTCTACAGATGATGTATTATAGAATTGTATGCCTGAAACCTATATAATTTTATTAACTAATGTCACCGCAATTAGTTTAATTAAAAAAAACAAACATGTAATAACCTGACTATTTAGTCAGGGGCACTGACCTCTTTTCTCTTACACTGTCAAATTAAAAAAAGGACAACAGCCAACACAACAATAGCTGTCCAGTGTGAATGAATCTAAATTATACCTATTTTTTTTGGTCAGATCAGCAAAAAACATGTTTTGGTGTGTTGCAGACTTTTAGTAAGTAGTTTATATGTGCCATGAGATGCAAATGGTTGAAGATCACTGCCTTAAATAAAGATAAAAAGAAGCTAAAGTAAAAGTCTATATATTTGTGAAAGATGGGTCACGAATTGAGCATGTGCTTTCAGGAAGCAATGCAAACAAGGAAACACTATAGGTTTCAATATTTACAGTAGCCATAGTATTTTTAAAAAGGAAAAAAAAGAAGTTGCTCAGAAGAAATATATCATTCTTCCTGCGACACAAATCTGAAATTTTTCCCATGGGTCTTTACAAGACATCTTAGTGTAACAAATTAAGTCCTCAAAATTATCCTCACACATAAATAGCAGAGTTTTACAGGGCAATTTCTTATTGTCCCTCTCAACCTAAAGAGGGAAATAACCAGGATAAAATTGAGGGAAAGCATTTCCACAGAAAGGGACCAAAACGTGGTCCAGGAACACAGGCGTAAATTTTAGATAACCAGAAAAATTGATAGATTGGGCTATATAATATACCGTTATCTCAAATTGGATTTTGATAAATAGGGCTTAGCAGCAAGTAAAGGTTAGACTCCTTAGCTGGTACTAAACTGAATTACAGTTCTTTTCCCAATGCAAATTCAGTGCATAGTCTAATCATTTAGCGGCCAGGAATCAAGAGGAACCGTCGAAGTTTGTGTGGCCGAACAGAAGACCACCCCATCGTGTGCCATGCCAGCAGGACCCACAGGGGAGGGCCGAGCCTGTTCTCAAAGTCGGCAGGGTCTCCTGCCCTAAAGGGTCAAAAGGGATATTAGGATCTGAGTATATTTTCCCAAAATGCGTTTGACAGAATATTAAAAGAAATTCTGGAAAAAGAGATGAATAAAGAAAAATTCTTTGGTCAAATGTCTTTGTCTTGAAGACAAATGTCTTTGTCTTGAATCATTATTATTAAATATCTCAACAACTCCTAAGTTTATTTGCATACATGGGGCTTTTTTCCCCTGTAGTAACATGTATTGAGATCCAGAGGAACGCACTTTGGGAAGTGCCACAGGATGTGGTCACATAATTCAAGACAAGACCCATTTCACCATTAAAAACAGGCAACAAACTAAAAAACCCTTCAGTAAAGAATCCAAAGATCATTTTAATTTGATTTATGAAACTTCCTAAAGAACTCTACATGGTCAACTGGCTACATAATGCACATAGAGCTAGATAATTAAAAGGGTCACGTCTTCATATAAATAATTATACGGAAGTGAAACATTGGGAACTCTAGTACACAATGATGTCTTTAGAGGAGGTGCCCGGCAGACCTTCTCTTTGGTAGAACTCGGCAAGGGGCCTCATATCTATTACAGCAATTCTTGGTTTCTGACTATAAAATTATATAATCTGGGTAAAAAGAAATTCATATCTTAATAATCTTGGGATTAGAAATGGAAGAGATTGAGGATCAACACTTAGTAATAACCAAAAACTAATACATATCCAATAAACATATCTAAAATGTGTACTTTCCTATTTAAATAATTTGTATTACCATACCTTTATAAAAAAAAAAAACACTAGGAAAACAAAAGTATTGTCAAATTGATTTTATTTTTTAAAGTGGACATTTCATTTTAAGAATCTTAAAGCTGGAAGAGACCTTCAGTTTACAGTTGAGGAAAGAGTCAAAACAGAGGAAGTGACTTGCCCCAGGTCACAGAGCTACTTTATGAGAGAACCAAGACAGAGAACCGGGCACATGCTCTTTCCACCATTACTGCCTCTTCGCTATAAAGCAATACAATGAAATATCAAGATCAACCCAAAGTCAATGAATTTTATTTTATAAAGAAACTGTTTCAAAATCTAGTATTTTAGATTTTAAAAGTATTCATCAGTGCTTATATATATTTAGATTAAAATGTTAAATCAATAGGACGAAATTTATAATCTTCATGATAGTCAATGAATCCCACGCATTTATGCATTTGTATCTTAAAATGTTAACAGATTCTACCCATAATCCTAATTTTCAGCTTTAAAAATTGCTCCTGAGTCTTTACTGACTAAAATGACACATTCTTTGAACATAACTTAAAAGACATTCAAAGGTATACTACTCTAGAATTATGATCAATACGTTAGAAATAAATGTTCTTTGTGTATAAAAACAATGCTATTAACTATTAATCTTTTAAGCCTATTTCATTAAACATTTCATTGTTGGGTAATCTAATTTTTCCCATTCTTATAAAAAATTTCACACAAAATTCTTGGCAGATTCAATTTAGAATTTACACAAAGTAATTACAATAAAAGTACTTTTGTTCAGGACTATTTGAGAATTTGATGATAATAATAATTGCATCTGAATGTCATTTTACAATTTAAAAACATTTTCACATCTTTTACCTCATTCAATAGCATTATTATTACTAAAACAAGTTGACAGTGCCTGACACATAATAGATGCTCAACAAACATGGAATAAATCAGTAGATAAAACAAGGAATGAAGATTCAGCCTTAGTAAAGAACAGACTAAGCAAACTAATATTCTAAGTCAATAGAAAGAATGGTATTAAGCCATCGTAAAACCAAACCTGAACTTGAACATTATGTAAGCACCTACATATAAATAATTAAAATTATAATAAATATTCTTCCCTATTCATTGAAGTACATTTCCTATAGACGTCCATTAATTATAAGGACTATCACACATTAAAATTATCCTTTTGTTCTCAACAATTTTGACATTATTTTGTTGAGATGCTCAAGTTTCAATTCCCAAACAAATCAAGCATCAACACTACCCAAAATTATCTATTATGGGAGGAAAAAAGAGAAAGAACGACATATTTTATTAATGATACTTATAAGAATCTTTTAAAGATATATGTTTACTTATGACAACCAACCATTCAATTTTAAGCAAAAGTTAAACCTCTATAAACATCTTGTAAAAATGGCATTCACTCAAGAAAACCTAATACACATATATTTATTCAGTTAATAAATATGTCTTTATTGCCTACTCTGTGACAAGGACTATATTAAGTATACAGGGAGGCAAGCAAAACAAAATATTTAAAATTCTTTTCTAAACCTTTCATAATTTGCTATAAATGTGGTATTACATGTATTCCCTCATTTGACTCTAAAAACAAATATATGTAGTAACTATTGCATCTACAATTTTGAACCTGGGACAACTGTGACCAACCAATAATGACATTATTTCCCCACAGTTATCAGAACAAGTTAATGGCAGGAAACAAGAGTGACTACATACAATCTAGGTCTTCTATTAGGTTGGTATGCTTTCTACCCAGCAACATTGTATGAACTCTCAAAAATACGTACAACAGTTGAGAATAGTTCTGAACATTTTTTTTTCCGTATCAAATTATTCTTCAGAAGTCCAGTGAAGCATGTTTTAAAATGAATTAGAAATGTAATACAGGTGGGCCGGCAAAAGTAGGCTTACAGTTGTTTGTATGGGAAAAGACAATAAAAAACAAATAACAATACAAGAAGATGCCCTGGCCAGTTCGGCTCAGCGGTTAGAGCGTTGGTCTGCAGACCAAAGAGTCTCGGGTTCGATTCCGGCCAAGGGCATGTACCTCGGCTGCAGTTCGCCTCGGGCCACAGTTGGGGTCTTGAGGGTGGCAACCAATCGACGTGTCTTTCTCACATTGATCTCTCTCTCTCTCTGTCCACCCCCCCCCTTCTGTCTGAAGATAAATGTAAAAATATCCTCAGGTGAGAATTTAAAAAAAAAAGAATAAACTGTTCCATGTACTCACAATTGTAACCCTAATTTGCCAACCCCTATAT